CTATGATATCTTATACCTAAAATATGCGAATTTGTACAAAAAATCACGAAATATTCAAAATTATGCAACAAACATTTTTGTATTTGTAATATACTTACTATGAATTAAATTTGTATCGAATCAGATTTTCAATATGCACTTTCTAAACAAATATGCAAATGCTTAAAGTTCCGAGCCTTGGTAAGACTAAAAACATACTTACATACCTATACTTTCATATTATGTTTGAATCAACTTAATATTAAATATGTATATCATTTCTAAACGCATCAAAATGACAACATTGATTTCAAAAACTTGTATGATTAATCCTCGAGTTCAACATAATGTTGAATGATGCATATAAAATCTAACAGATTTTGAAAGAACATCACCTTTTCACAACATTAAGATATGATCAATCTAATATTAAATTATAATAACTAGGGTTTGGATGTTGTTACATTAATTTTATTAAATTTAATAATTAATTTACTAAAGACTAAAGGTTATGGCTAGACTTAGAGACTTAAAAGCTTTAAACACAAACATATACGCATACAAATATGATCAAATAACTCTACAAGTCTAGAAAAAGACAATTTTGACTGAATTTATTAAAAATGTATTTAATTATTATTAATGTATTATCAATTTTTCCTTTTTTTTTTTAAATAATTGTACCTATTGCTCCAATGGCTTAAGCAAAAAAAAAAAACGATAGGCCCATAGGAGGGTTTAACATCTGTAGCATGGATCATTACATGGAAGTCACACAATATTTACACAACGTTGGTAAAATATGTATATCACATTTGTGTAAGCAATTCATTTTTTAATCTACATTTTTATGAAATTTTTTTTTTGCTCTAATAAGTAGAAACCTTGCAAACTTATTAATTAATTATAACAACATCAAAGTCCTAATCATGACATCAAACATAATTATAAAGTATTTTAAATATGTCAATTGCACCAGTAAAAATTATCGTAATATATTCTGAGTGGTGAATAAGGTTAGGTTTTACTGGTTTTAGATCGGGATTGAATATTTTTTTAGAAGCATTTTCAGTCTGGATTTAGGGCAATTTTAAAACTTTTAACTTAATTTTAATAAATAAATATAGATTTGAAATGTATACAATTTTCATAAGAAAGGATATAAAGACAAATAATTGTTGAACCATTTAGTACATTTTAGTATATTCAAATTAGCAAGGAATATGCAAGATATGCATGGTAAAAAACATTTTAAAGCAAATTCATTATTTCTGAAAGACTATCCATTTTAAAACTTAATTTAGTATTAATAATTGTGCATACATTTGAACTGTGTACAATTTTGATATGTAAGGATCAATATTCACTAATAAATTGATACATTATTGTCGTAATTTAGTAAATTTTATTATACTACAATGATTGAGCTATCAAGTTATGTATGATAAACTAAATTTAAAAGCAAATTCATTATTCGTTAATATCCAATATAGGTAGGTATCTAAAGAAATATAGAATTTATGAAAGTCAGCAGTTTAATAAATGCTTAATAAAAATATACTTCACAATTTAAACTTAGTGAACATTGTTCGTACAAGAGGTTCAATCGAATAATAAATTATATGTATATTTACTATTTACTATTTCGCTATACTATTTATTACATTATTAAATGAGACTAATGTTTAAACAAATTACTTAAAAAAGTATTCATATGCTCAAATTGGTTAAAAATAGTTGGTTTTGTGCAAATAACCTTGTAAAATATAACTACAGTTCTTTAAAAAGTTGTTAAAAAGTTATATCATTATAGGTACCAACTATTTGTTTAATACACTCGCATACTTTTATTTTTAACAAGTGTATACTCTCAATACAAAATAATTATGACTGCCATTTTACTTGCAAAATGTTGGTCCACGCCAGAGGTTTAAATGAGTCCAATCGTCTTCTAAAGGTATTGGTATACACTATTAAGTTTATCAACAAGTGTATACTCTCAATACAATATAATTATGACTGTCATTTTACTTGCAGAATTTTGGTTCACGTCAGAGATTCAATCGTCTTCTAAAGGTATTGGTATACACTATTAATTAATGCGACCAATGTTTAAACAAATTAGTAGAAAATAACTATTAGGCTTGTATGAATAACCTTGTAAAATATTACTACATTAAAGTTTTAAAGTCAAAAAGTTATACATTTTATAATTTTATTAACACAAACCAACAAAAACCTATACATGCAAATATTTATTAAGTAAATTATTGAATTCTATGAAATTAGGTATTACTCATAAGTAATGAATCAGGAATTAAAGTAAAATAATGATAATACATTAAAATTGAGTATTAGCGTTGTATAAACAAATTAACTTTTTTTAACTTAATAAAAAGTTAACAAAAAGTGTGTATTAACTTTTAACTTAACTGAGTTAACCTATAGTTAAATTAACTTTTAATTCTTAACTTTTTGTTATTGGTGCATATTAACTTAACTTAACTCAGTAAAAAAAATCATTAACTGGCCCAGACTTTCAAAATGTATCTTCGTCTTCGTTGTCACTGAAAACACAAATGCGTCGATACCTATATTATTTTAAATGTATGTATTCTACATTTTACCCACTACCATTGATCACAAATAAGATTATTTATAATTATTATTATATAATATAAATTATAATTCATGATTGTATGAAAAATTAAAACAATCATTTTGTAAGTGTAATAACAATCTTTTGATTACATAATTAGAGGCTTAAATTATGATTTATTGGATACCGTTTTCGAGATAAATTTAGGTATAAAATATTCATATAGGTATAATAAAACATATTATGTTTATACATTTAACGGGTTAGGTAATTATTTCTAACTATACTATAACTATAAAGTTTTTATTGATATTTAAAATAAGTATTATTATTATATTCGAAAAAGGCACCGAGTAATTGTCTCTACACCACCAATTCACACAACCTACCTAGCCGACTGGTTGGTCACACAATAAACGTGAGCGATATATATCACACCGCCACATAATAATATAGATCTAATTAATATTCCCTTCAGTTCTAATAACGTATGTTTGAAATCATAATAATTAAATAATTTTGTGTTATTATTAATTATTTGATGAAATCAGTGAAAATATTTTATATCATATTTAAATTATTATATATTATATATGATACTAAATATATAAATTATCAATATATGCATTTATTTATATGCTAAAATATGTCAAATTTGCAGAAATATGCAAAATAAGTTTGCCTATTTATTATTTAGACCTCATGAACCAAATTGATGCTCTGGTGTACACCTCTGGTTAAGTGAAAAAATATGCTAAGTCATAAACACCCTACTTATTAGACATCTACTTATTAGTTATTAGTTAGTGTTGAAGTATACAGATATACAGAAGTTAAAGGTAAATATTAAATAATAATAAAATCGGATATATATAATATAATAATAAGTATAATGATACGATGTAGGTACAATGGTACATAGGCGTAATATAAATCAACGACCAACTGTGTATACCCGTCTACACTACACAAGACATATTATATGCTGTAGTATAATAAAAAAAATGTATAGTTAGCGTTTGCAGTGTGAACATATTACTTATACACTACATTATATAGGGTGTTTTGTTTATAATTCCAACAGTTACTTTATGTCCACGTAGGTGAAGAAGTTAATTTGATATTTAAATATTGGTAATACAAATTAGTTTATCTAACACATCATATTATTATCTATATAAAAGTTAGAATATCTGTATCTTATCTAAATGCAATTTTCAGTATCTATTCTCAAAGAGGTTAGTGACCGTCTGGATATAATATAGTGGTTCCTATATTATTTTTACTATTTTTTAGACCGATATTGAAGATTTAATATAGACTTTTTACTAAGGTAATTATAATTATTTAAGTCAAAATTCAGAAAAAATCTGTTATATAAAAATAAGATTTGTAATTTTCCAATATTGAAAGTTTGTTATTTTGACGTGTATTTTACATTAACTTATAGCTATCAGACTATAATATGAAATCATTTTAACATTTTAATCATAGTTTTTAAGTATCAACATTATCTGTGTTCCGTCGTTGTTTTGATACCATATTTTAATTTTTAAATGAGTTACGAGTAGGGCTGGGATTTGTATGTAAATACATATTTTACTGAAACACGATAAATTAATTATTGCAAATGATAAATTCGTTTCACGTGTTTTGCAATAAAATAAGAAATATTTTATTTTACATATTTTTACATATTTCGTCACTACATACTTTGTCAGGTCGCAATGCATGTGATATAAGTGTTATTTAGAATTGTATTTTTTAAATTTTTCTTGGAACATAATTTTTATTTTATACAACTTATTTTTTATTTTATACTACATTTTTTGGCAATTTTAATTACATATATATGTACATATTTTTAGTTTTTTATTACATATAAATCCCAGCCCTAGTTATGAGGATGTAAGCCAACGAGGGAATACAGACAACACTATATTGTTTCAAAGACTGATGAAAAATATTAAAAATCTTTAATCATAGTATTTTTTGTAAGCATTTAATTTCAAAAAATGACAAAATATGGAAAAATCACGAAAATTTGCAAATTATTTCTAGTTAGAAATTCATAAAAATTTTTCTTTTTAAATTTAAGATATGAAAATGTAATACAAGATTCCTTATAAGATTTCCTACATTTATCAAAAAAAAAATTCTATAAGAAAGTCAAATTAAATTTTTATGAGCGTTTGAAATCAAATTTTTACAACATTGGATATTCACTTGATTTCTCATGTAGCGATTTTCTTATTTTGTAGTAATTCAAAAACGAATAACTATAGGTACATTAAAATTTCACTGAATGTTCAAAATTGCATTTCCTATACACTGTACAATTTTGAAAATATTTCTACTCTTTTTAAGCTGTTTACAGACATTTTCAGTTGTCAATTTTTTTAGTTTTTTTTTTCTATAAATATCAATAAAGTTTTATCTGATGGGCCAAAAAGTGTACGGAACGAGACGGGTGGCCGGTACTGACCTTGTACACGGTGCGTCCGTTGACGGGCTCTCCCGACCGGCAGTACGCAGCCAGCGACCGTGGCCGGGACAACTCCAGAGGGCCCCACTGATGGTAACTCGAACTGGTCTCCGTCTCTTTGGCCATCAGCAAGTTTGAGCCCTGCGAACAAGTGGCGGGGTACGGCCGCGCCACTGGCCGTCGTCCGTTAGTATACGGAATCCCGAAAGCGTCGGCCGTGGTGTTGCCCGTCATTGCGCAAGCTCCGCTGCCGCAGTTGGTGCCTATGGTCTGCTCCGACCTGGTGGACCGCTGCCGTTCGGCCTCAGGCAGACACTTGGCCACGAAGTCATGTCTCTGCGACGTCACGTTCTGCACGGGTTCCTGAGAGCCACCCACGAGCTCGTGATCGCATTGCACCGCGGTCAGCGTCCGGTCCACGCACGGCCACTCGCGAAAACTGGCCCGGTGCACGGTCATCCGGTTGAACTGTTCGCTGCAACTATCCAGCCTGGGCCAGAGGCCCTCTATCGGTGCCACCTTTTTTCGTTTCAAGACTGAGGTCCGAAATATATTTGTCAATTGCCTATGGTCTCCTCCGGCCCGGTACCCCGCTGCCGTTCTGCCTCAGGCAGACACTTGGCCACGAAGTCATGTCGCAGCGACGTCACGTTCTGCACGGGTTCCTGAGAGCCACCCACGAGCTCGTGATCGCATTGCACCGCGGGCAGCGTTCGGTCCACGCACGGCCACTCGCGAAAACTGGCCCGGTGCACGATTATCTACCCAAAGCTCGCTTTGAATTTAACTCTTATTTAATATTATTTTATATTTTATATTATAAGGATTTATACTAGCCCTATGCATTACTTAATAATGTTTATTGGATCATACCTGTATGTAGATCTTCCCCAACCATCCACGACTTTACCAATACATATTTTTGTGAGGGGCCGGGCGTGGACCGGACGCTGCCCGCGTACTGCCGGTCGGGAGAGCCCGTCAACGGTCGCACCGTGTACACCAGCCAACCGTTTTACCCCGGAGCGCACGATTACAATTTGTATAGAGTATTACAATAATTGTCAGCCTCATCCACTGCGGACTTATCATCGTTTCCGTACCCGTTGGTCGGGTGTTGTTCCCCGGGCAACGGGTCACAGAACGAGCCGGGTGGCCAGTAAGTGACCTTGTACGCGGCCAGCGACTGTGGCCGGGACAACTCCAGAGGGCCCCACTGCTGGTAACTCTAACTGGTCTCCGCCTCTTTGGCCATCAGCAAGTTTGGGCCCTGCGACCAAGTGGCGGTGGATGGCCGCGCCAGTGGCCGTCGTCCATTAGTACACGGAATCCCGAACGCGTCGGCCGTGGTGGTGTTGCCCGTCATTGCGCAAGCTCCGCTGCCGCAGTTGGTGCCTATGGTCTCCTCCGACCCGGTGGACCGCTGCCGTTCGGCCTCAGGCAGACACTTGGCCACGAAGTCATGTCTCTGCGACGTCACGTTCTGCACGGGTTCCTGAGAGCCACCCACGAGCTCGTGATCGCATTGCACCGCGGTCAGCGTCCGGTCCACGCACGGCCACTCGCGAAAACTGGCCCGGTGCACGGTCATCCGGTTGAACTGTTCGCTGCAACTATCCAGCCTGGGCCAGAGGCCCTCTATCGGTGCCATCGTGGATTTTTAGCTCCGATCTGCAGGTCCGGGCTGCTTGTACGATTGACTGAAACGTGGATACGTAGTTAGTAGTACGTATTAGGCATGCCACTGATAGTCATATACCATGTTATATAATTTAATCCATACTTCATAGCAGTTTTTAATTTTTGTTAAATGTTTTAAATTAAATTAGAATGAATTAAAAAACAATTATATGAGAAAATAATATGGTACCCAAAGCTCGCTTTGAATTTTATTTCTTATTTAATATTATTTAATATTTAATATTTTAGGGATTTATACTAGCCCTATGCGTTAATTAATAATGTTTATTGGATCATACCTGTATGTAGATCTTCCCCAACCATCCACGACTTTACCAGGACATATTTTTGTGAGGGGCTTATAAATTTGCCGCTTCCTTGGCTGCTGGTAAATTTTCATACTGTTTGTATCCTCCGTGCGACAATTATTTAAATTAAAATGTGAATAAGAAACTTCAAACTCGTTTAAATAATAATATCTTTTTGTGAAAACTATTGAAATAAAAACTCAAACTAGAATCTTTAAAATCGATAAATTTATATCAAATATTATTGTACTATTATTATTTACTTCGGTTGGCTATGACAACGATGCAAACCAGACATCACATGTATTTCATTATTAAAATTATATTATACTTGCTTATACACCATTGTAATAATTTTTTATACATAATATAAATGATTGTACTTACGTTTGTTAGTCGCCTCTAATCACTGGAACCACTTATCCAATCGGCACAATATTTTGCAGTTTGCACTGCACATATTCCTTGAGATTCGTAAAGTGTTTAAATCTTCGACTTTTATATGATTTTTACACATCTATATTTCTGATTACATTAGTTAATTTTTAATCAATAATAATTAACAACCCCTCATATTATATTCGTCATACGAGTACCTATTATAGGTGTTTATATTTTATATTTTACTATCTGAATTACCATGCAGCTTCACCCGAGTGTAAAATATTTGTGTATCACCATACACCTCCCTATTACCGTCAATAATATCTTGCCAAAAAATATCTTAGACTTATGAGATTAATATAATATAATAGGTACCCTGAAAATTTCAAGCTTCGAGCTATAATTATTTCAGGATCAGTCAGTCAACACATTCGATTATATTATATTATATAGCCATATCCCGCCGGCGTTTCCCGTGAGAGATGCTTGTGATTTTGCGGTCAGTATATTGTCAGGTAGGCAATCCACCTGTTAATTGCGCATCGAAGTTCACACTTAATAACGAATGTTTAATTAACTCGTTGTTTATGATGTGCATGTGTATTTTCCCGGGACAACGGTCGAAAAGTTGGCGTTAGGAATACCATTTTTACTAAGTTATAGTATGGTTTTGAATAAAGTATAATATATAGGTCTAAAATTATATTCAACTTTAACCAATAGCAACCTTACAATAAACACCTGTTGTATTTTTGGCTTTCAGATTTTCTGCTTTTCCGGTGTATTGTTCTAAAATATTGTTTTTCATACTAACCTTGTACTGACAATTTCGAACACAATAAAACAAGAATCAGCCAAATCGATCTCGTAGTTTCTGAGATTAGCCGTTTCAGAGTATATAATACATAAGTATTTTCACGTTTATTTAGTTAAAAGAAACTGTTGGTATACATAAAAGAAAATATATAAACATTTAAATTTTTATGAAATTACAAATAACCATCGAGACGACCAAAAAAATATTTTCAAGTCGCACTAAATTGGATTCAAATTTCCAGTTTTTTTACATTACTTAACTTCTTTTACTGCGAAATTACGTAAATAAAACACTAGACGTGTGTAAATCCAATAGTTTTGACATATAATTATAACAAAGATTATAAACTAGTATTATATACAAAGAATATACTCGTCACATGCAGTAATATAAACGTACCTAGTTGTACCGATATCAATAAAAGCCTTAGGCCGTCGGCGAATCATTATGTCTATAATAATATCTATAATATATGTAGGTATGATATACCGGCTGTCTCAAACTATATGCAAGCCCGAATTGTAAAGGATTAAACTATCATGATAAATACCTGTTGTTTAAAATGGGTTCGCGGTCAAGGCCGGATCGCTGCTTAATGTGTTACCTATGCCTACGTAATTATAATCGACAATATACAAATAATATAAGTGAAAATATATTACCTATTTAATTGTTTTTGGTTCTTTGTACATGGTACACACAGGGGCGTGCCCAGGATTTCTTTTTGGGGATGGTTTAGTTTAACCATAAAGTTTTAAAGTTAAACTTCAATACTTGAACGATATAATTCAAATAAATGTAAATATATACAGTGTTAATAAAAAAAAATTTAATATTTCATGTAAATTTGTTTAGTCAAAAATAAAATAAAAATTAATAAATTAGTTATCTATAAAATAAAGTCCATTCTTATTGATACTGATGCAAACTTTGATACAACTTCATCTGGATTTACTGGTCGTTGTGAATTTAAAGTAGAGCTAAACCAAGCAGTCGACAAAATAATAAAACGTAAGAGTACAACAGATCACCAATCGTGGTAAACATTAACTAAATGAAAGATTTTTTTTTTTTTTTTAGTTATCCCGCGGCAACTTAGTCAATTGGGAGGGGGGTTGGTACTGTAGGTTTTTTTAGAAAGGTATAATGGTAGGAGTGTTACACGTGGGTTAATTTTGGCAGAATTTCGAATGGGGCACTCGTAGGTTTCTGCCATGCCCAGGAGTGGGGGATGGTGGCACTTGTTTTCCGGACACCGTGACTTGCCCGGAGAAAAATGCCGCCCGGTGGTCGAGAATCGAACCCGGGACTGCCAGCGCCGCATAATCGATAAGATCCCATACAGCAACGTGAAAACTGATTTCATTCAATTAAACGTAAAACCCCAAAAACAGCGTAAAGAACCTGCCGTTGTACCACGAATATAAAATACGCAGAAATGTACTAAAATGAATAAAAACCAAAGATCGTCAAATATTGTTTTATTTTTATATTAATTATTATATTATCGGATTTCCCCATAATATTATGTTAATGTTATTTTAGATTCGGAGTGGAACGATGAATGTATTGATTTTACAATGATGTGTGTTTTTTAATTTTTTTTAATTTTTTTTGTGTCTGTGTACACTTTAAGTAGTCGAAATAATGCTTCGATTTTCGTCTTCAGTATCTTGTTCGATTGGAAGGTGAATATCGTTGGTGCATTGAGGAGGTCAAAATTTAAATTTCCCAGTAGTTTTCAAAAGCGCCGGGAAAAACAAAAGAAAAATTAAGGAAACATTTTTACGCAAAATCTGTTTTCTAGAAAATCGATTTTGGATTTTGGTGTAAACAAATTACCGTAGATACATGACATTTTCAGTGGTTGTTTATATTTGCATTTTCTATACACGATCACATTTTCAAAATATTTTGATTTATTTTGAACTGTTTAGGGACATTTTCAGTTTCCAATTTTATTAGTTTTTTTTTAGGAATATCAATAAAAATTTATTTGTTGAGTAAAAATACTTGAAAATTGAATACAAGGCTCCTACTATATTGTTTCAAAGACAGATGAAAAATATTAAAAATCGTTAATCACAGTTTTTTTTTAAGCATTTAAATTTCAAAAAATGACAAAATATGGAAAAATCACGAAAATTAGTAAATTATTTTGAGTTAAGAATTCGTAAAAATTTTTCTTTTTAAATCTAAGATTTGAAAATGTAATACAAGATTACTCTTAAGTTTGTCTACCTTTATCAATAAAAAAATCTCTACCGGACAGTCAAATTAAATTTTTATGAGCGTTTGAAATTCAAATTTTTACAACATTGGATGTTCACTCGATTTCTCATGTAGCGATATCCTTATTTTGTTTTTATTCATAAACGAATAACTATAGATACATGAAAATTTCACTGAATGTTTATTTTAGCATTTCCTATACATCATACAACTTTGAAAATATTTTGACTCTTTTTGAGCTGTTTACGGATATTTTAATTTTTCAATTTTTTTAGTTTTTTTTTCTATAAATATCAATAAAGTTTTATCTGTTGTGCCAAAAAGTGGAAAAATGTAATACAAGACTCCTGATATATTGTTACAATATCAGTTGAAAAATATTAAAAATGCACAATTTTTTTTTTTATAAGCATTTAAACATCGAATTTTGACAGAATTTTTCAAAATCTCGAAAATTATTAATCATCGTAATTAATAAATTATAAAATGTTGAGTTTTTATAGCTAAGGATTGAAAATTTAAAAAAAGATCCTCATATATAGTTCATACTGTAGCCAAAAAATCTAAAAAAATATACAATCACAGTTTATTTTTATGGTCATTTTATGTTCAAATTTGGACGAAATTACATATTAAAAAACCTAGCATACCTATTTTAGTTATTTTGTTGTGAGTGTATAATACTATTCGTGGGTAATTGAAACTTCTAAAGTACACTATATTATATATCAATGATAGTATCAGGGTTTGTTATTGATGTATAACGTGTTATAAGTACCTAATGGATATTGTGATATGAGTAATTTGGAATTTATTATAGGTCAATTTTTTTTTTAATACCATAGATATGTGTATAATATGTCTTAAACCTAAACTGACATACCGTCTTCGCTCAGAATCGTTTTTCTTATACAATGATATTGTATCATTGAATTCAAATTTAATACCATCCATTATACAGTGACCCACTTGTAACCTACTGTACAGCAGAGCGACACCCACTTGCCCACCTTTTTTTTTACTTTAAATGCTTATAAAAAAAAAACTGTGAAAAAGGATTTTTAATATTTTTCGTCAGCCTTTGAAAAAATATACTAGGAGACTTCTATTAAATTTTCAAGCTTTTTTAACCAACAAATAAAATTTTATTGATATTTTTAGAAAAAAAAAACTAAAAAAACTTAATTAAAAAATAATTTTATATTATATTATTATCTATGTTTAATTATT